AATAAAATAAAATAAAATAAAATAAAATAAAATAAAATAAAATAAAATAAAATAAAATAAAATAAAATAAAATAAAATAAAATAAAATAAAATAACTTTCAGACACCAAGCATTACAAAGGTGGGGTGTAGCCAAGAGCATCTTTATTTTTCCTCCACCAATGTTGTGGAATTTAATCAAAGCTTTTCAATGAAACTACTTTTCCTTAAAGGTTGCCATATTTGCCTCTTTAGATTGTAAGAAAAAGTACCATGTTACTACCCCTATCATTTGATGAGGTTTTGGACCAGATAAAAAATGGAGAAATTACTTAAAAATCAGCAAGCACTCTAACGTTTGTATATTCAGGTGAGCCACTGAGCAGCATTACACAGCTTTCATGTTTTGGAGTTCTTATTTTAAAAGGCCACTTGCATAAAAGAGGTCTGGTTTTGTGCGTTCATTCAAAGTATGCAGGAAAAGCAATTTACCTTAAACAGACAAGAGGATAAGGGAAAAAAAGAACAATGAATGAATAAATTATTATTAGAAACAAAGACTATTTTTTTTTTTGTTAAAGTTTTGTGGTTTTTCTTAAACCAAAAAACCTTTACATTGCCATGCAACACAATACTAGAAAATTATCGACAAATAATTTACAATAAATTAATTCAAATTTTTATCATACAGCATATCACTTAGCAAAAATGTGTTTAATAAGACCTTTTTTTGCTAATATATATGTATCATATATGAGAGACACACACACTTACATGAAAAAAGCTAGTGTTGAAAACACGCCACAGGTATGGAATGCATGGTTCATCTGTTCTGGCTTTGGGTAAACTACTGCAGCATCTATCATTATCCACCAACCTGTGAAAAACTAGAAATAAAATTAAAACAACATTATGAGCTGAAAAGAGCATACACACCAACAAAATATGCCAAGTGTTCACGTGTACCCTGGTTTACCAAGTATGAACTATTTTAGGTAGCTATTAGCTTCCCATCAGGTATAAACCTTTTTGGAGCATAATTTAGCATCATTACATCTTAATGTTGATGTCTTCAAAGCATTTCAAAGTATTGGGAATGTGGCAAATTTTCTATTAAAATCAAACATCAGAAACTAGAATAGCTACATTTCTTGTCTGCTTCAAGAAAAAGAATACAGATTCTAAACACACACAATATATGACGTAAAATATGAATAACATATCTAATTAAACCAAAATCCATTAGGTTTTCTTTTCTTTTTTTTTTTTTTTTTTTTTTTTTTTAAGACAGCATAACTGGAATATCATTACTGAGCAACATGCAGATTCATATGACTTACAAAGAACGTGGCTAATAACTACACTGCAAAAAAGTCTTCAAGCAATTGATTGAGGGCTAATTAAAAGAGAAACATCATAACATTTTAAATAAAGCATTGAGCTGTCTGTGCTACATCACAGTTCCCAGCACAGTTAGAATCCACCTCCTCTCCAGACTCACCAATACACCTGCGACTATCGAAGCAACCGTATTTCTTCTTTCACTCCAGTCAATACACTCACATTCTGGCCATCGGAAGTTGTCCAAGAATCCTGCCATTTCCTTCAAGATTACAGTGCCTTCCTTAGTCTGTGCTCATATACGAAATGTTCCATTAACAGCTACGTCCTAAATACCTGAAACACAGCTACAAGATGTTTAATACAGAAAAAGTAAGATTTTGATATGTTTGACAAACTGTCACAAGTAATCTTTAAAGTGTGGTTTTACACAATTAAGTAGCTCACTATAAATTCTATATTAAGCTATTTTTAGTTTTGTATTTAGTAAGAAAAAAAACTTATCAAGAGAATTGCAAAATAAAGTGAACGCACAACCACAAAAGCTTAGAATCTACATATAAAGCAACATGCTGAAACCAAAGAAAAATTAAACAGAGCATACCATTTGTTCAAATGTTTAGGAACCAAAAATGAAAAAGCAAAAACATACAAGCAAAAATCCCAAGCATTTTAATTTACATCTCACCCTCAAACCATAGCTCTTTCTCCAACATTAGTCATTAAGGGACACACCTACAGCAGGACTTCATACATGAAGAAGAACTCGTGGCGAGTCAGGCTAAGTAATCTTGAATATGAATTCTTTTTTTTTCAGTCAACAACTAAGATAATTGTGCTCTTCTAGTAAGGAGAAAAAGGCACCAACCCAATCAACCTACCAATAATAAGGGTTGAAAATGCCTTGTTTCACAGTCAGAGGATCAGTCACACAGAACTTCAAATATAGAGAAGACAAAAGCAAATTTAAATATGAAAGCTATACAGTGACTGTGTAGACAGTTCTCAAACACTTTGGGGAGACACCAGCATCTATAACATATTCTGTGCTAGACTTCATCTATTCTCAGCCTGTAACATGGCTTGCTCATATAGGCCATGTGTCAGAAACTTACTTTTTTTATTTTTGGTTAGCAGTGACTGGTGATCAGTCTTCTTGACAATCAATGTTTGTTCAGTATTGTAAATTTTCTGTAATTTACGGATACTGTTAAGAGCTAAAGAAATTAAAATGACCATAATCATTCCGTTACAGGAAAGACTGGTGTAAAACATCTGGTTAACAGCAGTATTTAAAAGTCCATGCTGAGAAGTCGAAAGACAGAACAAACACAGTGCTCATTTACACTACAAATACGATTTAAAAATTGTTCTCTCGAGTACAGTACTAGAAATTCACCCATAGGTACAATGGTGTTTTAAAACATTAAAACTAATTGATTCAAAGACTATTTTTCTTCTTGAAAATATCTGTGTTTGACAATACAGTTAATTTCATATTTTTACTTATTTATATTTACTTATTTTTACTTATTTATATTTACCAAGTCATTTTCACAGTTTCCTATTATTTCTAGAACTTTTCACAGAGTTGCAGTACTTCCTTATCGCGGGTCTTATGACTGAATGCTCCTGTAGCACTTCCTTAATTTCCACTCTGAAAGCTGCTCCACAGGCAATTGGTTTGCTGCCCTGGAAGGGCAGGAGGCGCCTCAGCCTGCACTAATGCCCTTCTTGCCCTCCTCGCTTCCCCGATCCACACAGCTTGCAGTTCCCACTGCCATCTCCTCCACAGACTCTGGAGCTGTCACTGAGGCTACGAGCCAAGAGGCTGGTAAAAGCACCAACAGGGGACACTGGTTTTCCCAGCCAGTGCAACAGAGGTTATGTGAAATCTAGTTATCTCCTTGTAGGGGAATACACTTTCAGGCATCCTTACAATAAGCCACCTACACTACAGTTTCCTCCGGATTTTTTTTCCCCCACAATGATCTATTTTAAGAGTATTAACATACCTAAATAACAATTCCTTCTTCAACGATAATATAAAAATATATGGCAACTCAGAAAACAGGTCATAATAAGATACTGAATAAAACGATTTTAAAGAACAGAAATAATTTTTCATCCTCTACCTTGCAAATTGCCTGTCCAATTTGCAAATGACTTAATAAATGAAATCTTTTCACCCCCATAAAAACATTCCAGTTTAAAAGGCCAATGTGAAATGCAAAAATCCTCTGCCTCCTACGATTTAAAGGGGCTATAAAATTCATGGTGCCAACTAATGCAAATAAGTGAACTTCCAAACCAAAAGCTGACTTATCCTTGCATAATCCTTCTTACTCTAAAAAGTCTGCAGCAATAAGCATTACAGACAGATGTAAATCATGCATTGCACAGAAGCTGTCTAAGCTCTTAAGCATTTTTTAAGCCTTAAGTGACAAATCAGAGGTGTTTTACTCACTCTATGGACCCGACACACCACCTTTCGACACCCTTCACTTAGATAAGATATGCAGCTTTCACAACTGCATTACTGACAAACAAGTGAAGACGCAAAACATGAAACAAAGTCAATGATCTTTTTATACTCAGATAAAAGACAATCCTCTAGAAACGCGCATTCTTTTCTTAATCAGAAAGTCTATTATTTYTGGTGCCTGATACTGGCTCTCAAACTCATGTCTTGCTTTAACCTCAGCTTCAAGCTCTGAACAGAAGTTTCCCAGATGAAGAGGTCAGATAACCACTATCTGCTGGCAGCTATCGACAACCACAATGTGCTAACAACAACACAGACTTCCTGTTTTACTGGAAGAGGATGCCAAATCCGGAGAAACAGGGTATGGAGAAACTGCAAGAGAGGCCAGACGAGAAGCCCAGCAGCATTACCTCTGCACTAGCCTAACGCCAGCGCTCAGCTTTGATTTCCTGAGGGGAGCTTAACCTCGCCTGCCTTCCCCAGCGCTTGGATCGGCAGTAACACCAGTGGAGGAGCTAATTCCACGGTGCCTTTTCAGCCTAGGAGCTAATTCCATCGCATTTGTTCGAACGTGATCTAAATATTTACTGATGCCATCCTGAATCCTCCAAAATAGGAGGATCAAAATAGTCTTTCAGAGGAGAATTTCAAYAGTGCCCTCCCTACCATAAAAAAGAGTCTCTTGCTACTTATATAGTGCCATATAGGTATATATTTCATATATATGCACGTAAATATGGCCATAGCCCATCTCTCCACATCATGCTACTGAAYGTACCCGTGCTCTGTGACCAACACACAGGGACTGCGCTCTTTACAACAGGACAACACCACCTCTGATCATACTTGGGTTTTGAACCCAAATACATCCCGTTATATAGGCAAAAAACTCTGATAGATAGGATTTATAGGTGCTGACATTTGCACCTCCTTACTTAAACAAAGGTCAAAGTCTCCACACTCCAACTCTTACTGGAAGGCACATACCGCACAGCAAGGAAGAAGGTGGAAAAGCCTCATGTTAGCTCTCCTTCAATGTCCTCCCTACACAGTGTCTCCTCTCCTCCTGCTTCAAGGGCAAACAAACCCTCCTGCAGGCTCCAAGAAACACTTTGCACTCACGTCCAGCAAAGGGAGACATAAGAGCACTGGCACGAACAAACTTGAGACTTAGCAAATAGAAAGGTGTCATATTCAGCATACGGCAGCACTTTGAGTTAAAGCAACCTGCAGATTATTCAGATGTTTGGAGTTAAATACAAAAACACAGCACAAGAGCTGGAGCCCTAAAYGTTCACCTAAAATTCAGCTTCCCAACTCCAAATGAAGTGATTCTACTTGAACAAACTACTAAAGCAGTCATGAGAAGATACACGGACTACGCACAAAGTAAATCATCTTACGCTCTGGATGGGACCATGAGACACTGCTGGGTTAACAACAAAATTGATTCTCCTATTTCCAGARGCGGTGAGAAAATACAGGAGGCAGAGAAGAAATTATGAAGGAAACCACATACTTGAGCCCATTTTAGAATGTTTTCTCTTTCCCATGTGCAYATAGTGTGAAAAGATATTTGGCACAGTAACTTTAAAGGCCTGCATATACCACTACACACATCCTGTTATGTACCGCTCATGCTTTTCACCAAGTCCTTCCTACTCTTTTTAAAGGAGGGATCTTTGGACCACCCACCCATTTCGGGCAGTTTCACTTTTGCTTTCCCCTCACCGTGCAGCACAGTGCTGAACTGCCAGGAGAGAACTTTTAAGTTGCCACCTTATTAAGGCCACCAAATTAAGRCTGTGTAGGAAAATTATTAAAGAAGCAGTCTCCCTCCCTCCACAAATCCAAGGGCAATGCTCAGCCCTAGAGGTAACACAACCACTCTTTATAGCAAGCTACTAACAAGGGAGCTATCAAGGCCAGAGAACTTTGGCAGGACAGAATAGGATCAATTGTACAATTTTCTGCAGGCTGCTAAGAGCACGTAACGCGCACCAAGAGTTCTTGAAGGGGCTCAAGCTGTGACAGGGCAATACGAGGCAGTAACACCAAAAAAAAAAAAGAGGAGGGAAGGAAAGGGATGGGAAAGCAATGCACGGCGCTCTAACTGTCCGCCTTCCTGCTCCCTTTCGCGGTGGTAGAGCAGGGGAGCGATGCGCAGAGCCAAGCGCAAAGCGGCTCCGGCCCCGGGCCCCGCTGCCCCCCCACCCCGCGCTGGCCACGCCGGGCCCGCGACTCGCGCCGGCCCAGGCCGCGCTACGGCGGAAGGTCAAGGCCCGGGGACGGCGGGGCCACCCCCGCCCAGCTCCCCGCGGCCGGAGCAGCGCGCGCAGCCCCACCGGGCCGCGGCTGTGGGGAGCGGTTTGTCCCTGTGGCAGCGGGGCGCGCGGCGCGGAGGAGGGGGCAGCCCCGCGGCCCCTCCGCCCTGGCTGCGGCCGTTGGCGGGGGGAGAGGGCGGCGGGAGGGCGCGCGCGGCCGTTGGCGGGGGGAGGGCTCCCCCAACGGTCGCTCCCAACGGACCCCCCGCCCCCCGCGCGACGTCCGTACGCACCCCCCGTCCTGCGCGAGACTCTTCCGCCGGGCGCGGGGCGGGCGGGCAGCGACGCGGCCGCGAGCGACGTCCGCGGCCGCCAATGGGGAGCCAGCGCCGCGCGTCAGCGCGAGGCCGGCCGAGCACAGAGCGTTGCCATTGGGCGACGCCACCGCCCACGAGGGCGAGCCGAGCCGCCGCGGGCCAATGGCAGGGAGGGTCCGCGCAGAGCCCCGCCCCCTCCCCGCTGATGGGGCTCCCCCCCCCACTTAAGGCTCTACCACTATTTACTTCATATAAATAAATATCGGTTAAACTACATGAACACCCGCCCTCTCCCCAACCCCACGTTTCCCAGCGGGACTCACCGGTTATCCCGGCGCATCCCGCTTTCTCGCTTCCCCTAGCTCTCCATCCCACGGCCAGCCGCCTCCACCACACCTGGAATGGGGCCGTGCTTTTCCTTTGCGTCTCGTTTCTCACTTTCTGGCCCCAAAGAGGCCATGCAGTGAGACACGGCTCACAGGAATGGCAGCTTCTTACTCGCAGTGCAGCACAAAGAGAAAGATCCCGATGCCAGCACGACTCTTGCATTACTGTCCATTGGAGAGGATCTCGCCCAGCTGGACAGGTTTCACACGTGCCCATTCCCTAAACTCTGCCACCGCCAACGCACCTGCCACCATCTCTCCCCCACACCTGGGACTGCCACTGCCTTCCTTGTGACAGTCTCTCCTCTTTCCAGAGCCTTTACTAGCTCAGACATGGAGCACATTCCTGTCCATACGKCAGCTTCRGCTGATCTCCGCTGTGGGGTAGTGCCCTCCCCTTATCCGTGGTTCGCGATCCCTGGAAAACACAACCAGAAGGGAAACAATTCAAGGGAAACACTACACGCACCTTTTCCTCTCCCTCTACTGGCAACCTCTTCAACTGAGAATAGAAGATTATTTGCTCTGCTCCTGCTTCTCATACCTCTAATTCCTTCTTCGCAGGGTGTTCTCTGCAACTCAGCACACAATCTGAAATCCATGACTGCTCCAGAATAATCAGAGATTCATTGGACCTCAAATTTTACAGCATACGTAGGAAATCCTCTAGGACTGCTCAAAATTTTAGTTCAKATAGCCCATAATTGTAAGGTTCTGCATAGCACTAACATGTACAAACACAGAGTTTGCTAACAGTGCTGGAAAAATCCATGGAGTGGCAGGCAAGAAACGGATTCCTCACTCTGGGGAAAGAAGCAGAGACACTTCAATTACTGTGCTCTAACAACAAATGCAAATAATGTTCTGATTTCATATCAACATGTCATCCAATAGGACCTTTGAGATACTTTCCACACAGTATTTTCACCAACACACAAGGAGTTCCGGGAATAAGCAAACATTTGTGTCCGGACTAGGCAGTGATCTCATCATTTTCTCTTGAGACTGGTAATAAGAGAACTGTTCCCAAATTCAACCAAGAATCGAGTGGCAGACAAAAAAAAAAAAAAAAAAAAAAAAAAAAAACCACCTTTCGAGAGCCATATTTCCTTTATAATTCTGTAATTCTTACAATTCACCTGCAGTACCTGATATCCCAGGGTCTAGAAACCCCGATTACATTCTGCTTTTAAGCTTCTGTAAATTCAGAGCAACAGCAAATTAGACCAACCTTGCCAAAATATATCCTCTACACACCTAAGGCAAGTACAATTTTCATCACTGACACTGATGAAACGTAGAACTGGATTTTCTGCCATTTTTGCCACTTTATCACAGTGATTTTGTGTCATTATTCATGAAAACATTTTAAGAGTGATTTAAAGTGATGGGAGTCAGCTCACATACACACCATTTAAAACCCAAGTAGTTTCAAAAGGAGCAGTCAGCATGCTGACTCATCCATTACAGCAACTTAAATATTTAAACTGCTGAAATTWTCTTCATTGTGAGCAAATACGGATTCCATCAAAGCTGAATTTATTGGCATCTAGTTCTATTTAGTCTTGTGCAGTGAATCCAATTTGCAATTAAGTCATTTTAAATATGCCACTGAGTTACTTTAAACTGCAATTCAGATCCAATTCCTGTTATGTCATCATTAGAATCAAGAGCCTGCACCTTTTAAGACTACAAAGTCAAATGATTTCCATAAAAGTAGGCTTAATTYAAGGTTTTCTTTAAAAGCAAGAACCTGCAGATGAGTCTAAGTCAAATTAGCAGACACCCATGCACACAGCCACTAAAACAAGGCACCAGCTTGTGAGACCACAGCCTTCTGATACAACCTGGTCTACCACTGTGATCTCAGCAAACCATATCCATACCAAAAAGCAAAAGTTACCATTTCAGCAGATGAATAAATGCCCAGAAATCGAGAGGACTGCCATGTAACCTCATTTTTCTTTCTGAATTTTAGACTCGGGCTGCTCATACTCAGAACTCATACACAGATGCAGACCACACACACATTTTGCTCCCACTTCACCAACACTCCACACGTAATTCTGGTATCTGCGACATATTCCTTACTTCTCAGCACCCTCCCAAGTTCTGTGAGCAGCTTAGAGAGCCACTGAAGAGTGAAGAAAACATTAATTATGAGCTGCCAGCATATCCCTGCCCGCTCAGGGAATCTCAGTGGGAAGGGGCTGAACAGCCAYGATATGCTCCAGAGGCAAGGCACTGCACAGCTCCCACAGGGTTATTAATACATTTCACCATATATTCTTTAAAACCAAGCATAGAGCAGTTAGTAGCCTCTGAAAATTAATACCCTTTCTTCTCCTTTCACCTCACAGAAAAACATGTGGCTAGGTCAGAGCTTTGGCCAGTCTTCTTTATTTGTTAGGATACTTCATGAGAGTGCCTTGCATACCAGATTCAAAAATACACTTGAGCAGACTTCAGATAGTCCAAACTGACATCCAGGCCTCCCCCTTCCCTTGTGTCTGTTTAACTCAACCTTGAAGAGATTAGTATGTGTAGCTTTTTAAACTGCATGGAACTCGACCCTCTCTTATCACCTGTGAGCATTTAAATAAGATGTAATAAAGTTGTCAAACAAATGACGCAGCAAAATTTCTGTTCCCACTTTGTCCTTAACGTGTTCTTGCTATGCCCTGGTTGCCCAATGTGGAAAGAAGGGATAGATAGTATTGTAAAAGTAATTATAGTCAATGCTACAGAAGTGAAGCACTATTTTTGATCAAAATAAAGGTAAAATAAACAGAAAGAGGGTAACAGAGAGAATTTATTTGTTGCTTTACTGTATGCACAGAGAAACCTATTAAGCACCTGCAAATGCCCATCAGACAACCCAATTCCTTCTAACAGTTGTAACAACAGACAGGTGGGTTTTATATTTGCAGTATACCTGAAATCTCTCTTTCTAGTGCTGTATGTTTTAGTAATAAAGTGCATTCAAAAATCTTGACAAGATTAATATTATCCTATTTCAAGCCAAGATTTAACCACTTAAATAACGAAGACTTCAACCCAAACCTTTTGACATCTTTCTGTTCAGCTTCCTTCGTGTCYGAATGAGAAGCCTCCCTGCTTTCCACCAGAGCTTCGTAAGTCTTTTGTGCTCGTGCAATTTCTCTGGCTGCACTGAAGTGCACCATTTGCCTGCTCAGAAGGGGAACAACTAAATTGAAGTTGTCGATTCTTTTGTTCAGCTTCCGGATATCTTCTGCGAACTGCTCACAAAGGCGGCTCCATTGCTTCTCCCTGTACGGCGTCATTGGCCCTCCCAGCTTACTCCTGGATGCCACTATGCCCTTTCTTAGCTGCTCTATCGTTTCTCGTATTTCTTTCTGCATCAGGATCCACTCCGGCTGGTAGCCGTTGTCTATGAGAATCCTGTTCAGGTTGTGAGTCATCGGATCAATGTGTGGACAGTCGGAAAACTTCTGCAAGGGCTTCCCTTTACCGCTGAGGTTGTCAAAGTCTCCTTTAGCCATGGACTCCTGGATGAGGTCCTCAACCAACCGTTCCACGGCTTGCGTTATTTTCACCTTTTTGCTCYGTCTCACATCTTTGGCTTTCATGAGGTCAGTCACAGCACTCTGGCCTTCGAGCCTCTGCTTCCGGTAYTCCAGCACTTGCTCAGCAGCACGGTCTACTCGAAACTGCATGTACTGCCTTTCTCTCTGGCTCGGCATCCCAAAGCCAACCCCTTCAAAGCTCAAGTAGTGTCTGTGTTGGAGGGATTTTGATTTGAACTGGTCTTCCTCTTCATCCTCAGGGCATTTCTTTTTGCTTGCCACGTCGTTGAGCACAACTCGGTACGCTTCCTCCACTTTCACAAACGCTTCGGCGTCAGCTGTGGCGGAACCGCTGTCCGGATGGTATTTTTTGGCAAGATTTCGGTACGAATTCCTGATGTCGTCAAGGGAGCATCCTTCCTGCAGCTCAAGGATTCTGTAAGAGTCCTTCACATTGCTTTTAGGTTTGTAACCCGATAACAGTCTATTGCCATAAACACGGGGAATGAGTTTCAGGTGTCTTGGAAGCATTGCTCGGTATAACATTAAAAGATGCCCTATGTCGTTAGTCAGCATGACACAAAGCCACTTCATAGTTCTTCAGRTGTAGCTACATACTTAACAATGATCTACAAGACATTTTAAAAAGAAGTGTCAAATAGACTTTTTTTAAGAGAACTAACTAAATCAATTAGTCTTTATCTTGTTACATTCTTTCACTTAAACAAAATCCTTTCAAAAACACAGAACATAAATGGCTCTTTTCTTTTAGAGGCTAAGGCTGAGTCCTGCATTTCTTATTAACTGTGTGCCCTATACTACCAGTTATTACAATGGAAATKAAAATTAATTCACAACACAGCTTTTTCCTGGTAGAGCAACAGCAGCGTGGGTTTTTTTTTTTCCCGCCTCAAAATTCTCAGGAAAAAACCCTTCTCAAATTCAGGCCAATATAAYAGGCATCTCTCTTTTCCTCCATTTAACTACATTCAGCTGCCAAAAACATTTTCTAACCACAAATACGAATGACTCAAAACCTACAACACTGTGTATTCTTAAAGAATTTAGTTAAAGGAGKCCTGTGGYACTGTGCAGCAACATCTAAATAAGYATTCAGACTTTTTTTTTCTTAATATAAATTAAGAAATGCCATACAAACTCTACTAACAAAGTCTCTTGTTTTCAGGTTCAGCACTGACTCTAACCAATTCTTTGATGACTTTCTTTCCAAATCATAAATTAGATTAAGCCAAAGTCAACTTAGGTCAAATGAATTAATAATTAATTAATTAAAAAAAAAACCTTTCTGCACTGAAGTGAGGCACTTGGGACTGCATGAAAGGCTAGATCTATCCTACACGTTAATCGGTTTTGATCCAGGTGAGGGATCATCTTGCAGTTATTCTGAGGGATTTCATTTAAACAGAATATTGATGTAATTTGTAATACACATTAGGGATGTTCCTCCTTTTAAAGCGTGGGCAAAGATCATGATTATTGCGCCATATGGCAACAAAAGTCATTTAATTACCACTTGAGAGAAAAGGGCATGTTCCCCCCTCCCCCCCCCAGCAACAGCCGCCCCTCTGACGTCAGAGCCCCAACGGCCCCCAACCGCCGCGCCAACGGCGGCGGGGAGCGCAGGGAGGCCGTTAACGGCTCGCTGGGAGGCCAGGCCCTCGGCGCCCCCCACGCCACAGCCCTAACGGAGCCGGGGGCGGAGCGCTGTCCCACCCCCACCCCACGGTGCCCGGCTCGCCCGCCCACCCGCCTCCTCTTCTTCCTTCTCTCCTTCCTTCCTTCCTTCCTGGCTTCCCGCCCGCCTCACCTGCTCCGGGCCGCCCCCACCCCTTCTCGCACCACAGCGCATGCCCCGCAGCGGGGAGAAGCCCAGAGACCCTCGGCGGTCCGGAGGCGAGGCGGGCGGGGGCGGCGCCCGGTGCCCTTCGCTCGGGGCCCTCTCCGAGCGGCGGGCGGCTCCGCGCCAGGGGGCGGGAAAAGCCGCCCCCCCCCCACCCCCCACCCCGGCCCGGCAGGGGGAGCACGAGGGCTGCGGG